TGCTAAAAAGAGCTCTCTCACACATTCATTACCCATCTAAAACAACTTCGGTGCTGTCCTCATAATATCTGGCCAGCATTTCAGCACCTTGTGTGCTTTTCAAAATAAGCACTCCATGTATTCATATAACCTGAGAAATCAGATATGGTCTAATCATTTGCAGAAATATGTCAGGATTAGGTTGCCACCTTTATTTTCTCTCCTGTCAGGGCTTTAGCAGCTGTCCAGAGGTAAATCAGGAAATCTTGAAAGCTTGCATATTTTTGTGACCCCTGAATTGGTCTTTTAAAGGTATTTACCAAAATAATTATTGGAATGTTTCCTGTGAAGACCAAAATTGTGAAGTGGTTTCTTTTTGGAGAGGATGCTTCACCTATTGATTTTTTTTGCTGTTAGGCATCTGTTAAGAACACGCATGCCTGGGAATAGGGGGCAGCTGAAAAGCTTCGTAGGTACACCTTTGTTGCAGAGCACTTATTGTGCTTGACTGGGCACTTGGATTTGTAGATGCAGAGAATCTCTTCTGTGCATAGCAGACTGTGAATGGACGAGCCCTGCTGGATCATACCGATGATAATCCAGCATCCTGTTTCCAACAGCGGCCAGCTACATGTTTCCAGCAAGCTCACAAGTCTGCCATGAAGCCAACAACCATTTCCTGCAGTTTGTCCCTCCTGTAGCTGTTATTCAAAGGGCAACCTAGCCATGGAGAATTCATTGTGCATTGTGGGCAAAGCAGAGAAAACAAGACATAGCCCACATCTGTATACGACGGAAGCACTCATGTGACAACCTGCACCTGACAACAATGTAAACTCTGTTCTCCAAAGGGCTCCAGCAGGAGTAAAAGTTGCATTGCACAGCTTGCGCTCTTCGAGTGTTTACTGTGTCATTTTGTCGTTATGTTACACTCGAAATGTAAGTCTCCCCAGGAAAAGAAATCAATCACTGAAATTGAACCCATGTGTAAACAGTTTGCTTTGTAGCAATAAACAGGAAATATTTGTCAAATTCTCTTCCCATATCCAGGAAACAATATGGAGCAATTCGTTCCCTGTCTAAAAAAATCTAATGTACTTTTTTTTCTTAAAAAAGAAATATATATATGCTAAAGTGCAGCTTTTCAAAGATACAGCATTAGCCATTTAATGCCCCCAGGCCAAGTTCAATAAACATTCCATACACTCCTCTCCATCCTGGAAGTCTGCCTTGAATTGATTGCTGTGTATTCATGCAGTCTTGTGGCAGTTCTCATGAAAGAAAGCTGGTTGGAATTATTTTCATTGATTCTGCCAGTATGTAATTTTTATAGAGCTGTTTGACCAGTCTGACCCAATACATATCCTTACAGACATTTCTTTCCACCCCTGAATATCCATGCAAAGCTTCTGAGGATCATGGCGACCAGTACTACTGGCCACCAGTTAGTTTTTCTTTGGACCTGTCCTTGATAGGGCAGGAGAGGAAGAAAGATGAACAGGGATTAGTGCCTGAATGTTTTTCTGATGGTTAAAGTACAAAACTGAATTACACACCTAGTAAGGGGCAAAAGTGTCTCTTACTGCCTATTGCCACAAGGCAAGACAAACACTAAGTGGAAGTATTGGTGAAGCTGGCCAGGTCTGGTTCAATGTACAATATTTGGGAGCTTGTCAGATGAATTCCCAGTTTCCTTTTTCCTTCACTCCCTCGAACCTTGTTACCCAGTGTTCAGTTCCCCAAATATCTTCCTTCTCTTTTAAGCAGTGTGCAGTGATGGCACTCCAATTGCAGGGAGAGAGACAGGGGAAGAAGTGGCTTCTTCCTCTTATCTCTGGTACACTGATGGTATATCAAGAAGAAAAGCTTTTGTGGTCCTTGCAGTTCTCCAAAGAGCTGTCGCGATGCAGCCAACTTGAACCATGCTAATTCTAGTCTCCTCCTGCTCTCCCTCTCTATATAGCCTAGCTTACATTCTGAACCAATTCAGTGTGAATCAAGATATGGGGTAGAATTTCTCATCACTAGCACCCAACAATAGCATACAAGACTCTGCACAGGATGGTGTTGTAAGTTACTATCTAGAAGTTCTACTATATAAAGCAGAGGCATGGAGTGATAACTCGGGGACTGAGTAATGCAGATATGTTGGTACAAGTTAAATAGCAGCAGAGAGCAATTGAGAGTAGGCTGAATGGCTTAGGAAAGGTTTTGCTATAGAAAGGGATTACAGGGGGCTGAAAAGAGGATGTGAGAAGCAGTGAGCTCAGCAGAGAAGGAGGACAAAGCTGTTCAGTCCCAGGGAATTTCACTAGTGATTCATCAGTTGGAACTGACAACTGGGTTCCTAACAAACACAAGCTTTTATAAATTGGTCCCTATAGTAAGACCACTTGCAGACAGTGCACTAAACTAGAATAATTGGTAAAAAAAAAGGTTTTCTACAAAGAAAGAGAGTTTCACAGCACAAAGTCTACTGAAAATGATGTAATCTCAATAGGCCAAGTTTGGAGAGGAGATACAGTATGGACGCAAGTAAGTACCTGACTGTTTCCCCTTTTTCTTAAGTCATAAGGAACAGGACCTTGTCAGTGATGGCACTCCCCTGTAGGAAATGTTGAAAGTCAAAGTGTGAACTTCTGTGTAGCCTTTTGGAAACAAATCACATCTTTCCCATACCAGCAGCCTAGTACTGGAGACAATATTGTTTCCTATGCTGTTGTATAATTTCTTGTGAACAATTGTTTGAATTTAAGTGCTCCAAATCGGTTTTAAGAGTTTTGTCATTTGAGTATAACTATTTTTACCTAATGGTTGTAAGCTGCCTGATAAAACTTTATACAGTGGGTCTCTACTTAAGAACTTAATCCATATTGGAAGGTGGTTCTCAAGTTGAAAAGTTCTTATGTTGAATCTGCATTTCCCATAGGAATGCATTGAAAACCATTTAATCCGTATCTGCTCTTTTCCGTCCATAGAAACTACAGTGGAATCTCTACTTAAGAACTTAATCCATTTTGGAATGGTGTTCTTAAATTGAAACGTTCTTAAGTTGAAGCAAAATTTCCCATAGGAATGGACTGAAAACCAATTAATCCGTTCTGGCTGGGTTTTTTTGTTATGTAGAGGTGCGTTCGTACATTGAAGCATTAGTTCCCATAGGAACTAATGCAAAGCTGGTTAATACGTACTCTACCACTACGGGGAGAATTTTTTTTAATCTAAGATGACCTTAAAAAAAGAGCAGGAAAGGTTTTTTTTTCCTGTTCTTATCTTGGATTTCTGTTCTCAAGTAGAAGCAAAATTTAGCAAATGGAGCTGTTCTTAAGTTGGATTGTTCTTAAGTAGAGACGTTCTTAAGTAGAGACCCCACTGTAATGGAAAGGTATTTGGAATTATAAGTATCGATTCTTAACTTGCTACAGCCTTGAAACCTAGATTAACTGCAACAGATCACTGGTGAATCTCTTTACACTGAAACAACTTCATTGGACTAACTTGGGTAAAAGACACAGAACCTAGGTATAGTGTTGATATAGCCTTTCATTGGAGAGCCATGCTCAGAGCATCAGACAAGAATTGGACAGACCCAAGCTCAAATCCTACTCAACCAGGAAACTTACTAGGGGCCTTGAATCAGTTGCTATGCCACAACCTAACCTACATACCTCACGGGGTTGAAGGAAGCAAAACTTGTGTTTCTCCTGGGGGGTGGGAGTAAGAACATGAAAGTAATAGATGACTAAGAATGCATTGTATTCTTGAAAGCTTTCACGGCAGGGATCTGATGGTTGTTGTGGGTTTTCCGGGCTGTTTGGCCATGTTCTTAAGGTTTTTCTTCCTAACGTTTCACCAGTCTCTGTGGCCAGCATCTTCAGAGGACAGGAGTCATAACTCTGTCTGTGCTGTGTTGCAGTTTTGTTGGATAGATGAGTATTTAGAGCTGTGGGATCAGCGTTCAACAAAAAAGAAGAAAGTCTAAAACACAACAAAGCCTGGCTCCCAGCACTGAAAAATACAGCCTGCAAAACATCAACGAACTCTGCCCAACCACAAGGACCAGTGATCACTGCACACAAAAGACCAGCTAATGACACCCATCAATCATAGTGACAGATCATCTCTCCCCCTTATCACAACAATACACCCACAACAAAAACATGCTGATCACCATAATCACCCAGTCTCCTGAAAAGGACAAAAGCTGATCCCACAGCTATAAATACTTAACTATCCAATAAAACTGCAACAGAGCACAGACAGAATTCTGACTTCTGTCCTCTGAAGATGCCGACCACAGAGACTGGTGAAACGTTAGGAAGAAAAACCTTAAGAACACGGCCAAATAGCCTGGAAAACCCACAACAACCATAACAATGCATTCCTAAACTGAAGATGCTGCAGAGGTTTATGAGTGAGCAGAAGCCTATTCATTGATGAGATATATTTTAACTTGGTCCTGGAATAAGACTAACATTATCACTGGTCCTTAAAGAATCATCTGAGAAGCTCTCTTGGATTGAGAATGCTTCCCCAGCAGGTGTTCCCCTTCAACATATGGGAGATAGAAGTATCTGGGCAACCTTAGGCTAAACCTTATTCTCTTGTATTCACACAGGTCTTTGCATGAGTAATATCTACACGCGGCTAGTGTGCATCTTGAGAAATGTGTATCAACATTCATTAAATGTAATGCAGTTCTGCATGTGGCTGTTCAGAAGTAAGCCTCACTAAATTCAGTGGGATATATTCTCAGAAAAGTATATATAGCAGTGAAGAAAGTACTTAGCAAGTAAACACATAGACTGTGGCAGTGCTGTGCGAATAACGGAAAAATACTACTTGGTCGTGACATTTCCCTACTTAAGTTGATCATATACATGTAACTTTGGAGGGTGCAGCTATTGAACAATGCAGAGTAAAACTGGTATGATATTGCATTTGAGCTGACATTTCTAATCGGCTAACAATGATTCACAGATGAAGGAAATCTTTATTTGCTTCCTATTATTTCATTTCAGTTTCTCCAAAGATAAGTCATATCTCAAATGACCTCGTGGTGAATGAAGGAAGCAACATCACCCTGGCTTGCTTGGCTACAGGGAAACCAGAGCCTTCCATTTCTTGGAGACACATCTCTCCATCAGGTATGCTTAAAATTTCATGTAATTCTTCTCCCCACTCCTCACATATTACCCACACACCACACTTTTGAAAAAAAAAAATCCAGGTGTCGTGTTGCTTGGATTCTTAAAAATTTTATGTTGCCAGCTAGAAATCTGAAATTTTTTTTCAAAATATGATGAACATTGCTAATTCTGGAATGCATACTGGTGGGAAAACAACCATGTTGATGTCAATAGATAGCAGAGTAGCTATATATTTGAAATTCCTTTCATCTTAATTCCCAGTATTTTCTTGATGAATTTAAGGCCTTGCACGGAGAAAGGAAAAATAGCTAGTGGAAGATGGAAATAGCAGGTGAATTTTCAGGGCTTGCTTCACATGTTTGCACAAAGGCTCTTCCACAAAGACTGTTTTCCTCTGAGGTTTTCCTGTTTCTTGGTACATGAAAGATGCTTTATATGCTAGAATAACTTGGCTGACTTTGGATACTAAGTCCTTTGGGCTTGGGTGATGGAGGGGTGCTATTTCTTGCTCCAACTCAGCAAAATGAAGCAATTGAAGCAAAATGTTTTGGACCAGCTTTGCTTATAAGAGTGATTTCTCAAGTTTGTAACCACTGTGGATATATCAGAGCTTGGCTTGAAGATTCTGGGATTTTGGTCTAAAAGGTAACTTGCTCGGGGATGCTATATTAGTAACTAACAGCAATGACAAGTTGCCATCAGAATAATCTCTACCAATTAAAGGCAGATGACTCGTTAATGATATTTGCATTTCAGAATGTATTGAGTTGAGCAGACAATGTTTAGATATATGAAATGAGCATCATGTGGATGTTGGTGATGGAGCTGCATTCATGTATGCCTGGAAGTAATGCTAATCAGCACTTTACTTTGGAGAAGGCTTGAAAGAATTACTAATAGCGACCTTTAAAAAAGCAACAATTAAACCTTTTTAAGTGACCACCAAGGGAGTAGAAAAATCAGTTACATCATAAAGGTGGTCTTTAACTAAATGTCAAACAAAATTGTGTTGGAAACCTTGGGGAGTCTTCGAAGTGGGAGCTTAGGACAGAGGCTTGTCTAATGGCAGTGGAGGACCTTGACTTGCATTGTTAACAGGACATTAGTGGAACCCTACTGCCACCTTGCAGCTTTAAGAAGGAGAGGAAAGTGAGGTTTGTCCCAGTTTTTTTAAAAAAAACAACAACAAAAAACCTGATGAAATCAGCACAGCACTTAAGAATTTATCTGGATGCAAGTCAATTAAGACTGCAGTTAAATCCTAGCTGCACACTACACTTGTGAAGTAAAAACAAGATGTCTTGCAGCATCCTGAAAGACTATCGAGGTTTATTTTGCTTGTGTAGATACCAACCCACCTAATCAGTTACTGACAAAGCTTCTCAATCTTTCAGATGTCATAGAACACTTTGCTGTGTTTGCCACAACAGGCTAATATAGTTACCATGACAACCTTTAGAGTAAACTGCTGGGCATAGTCATTAGTCAGTAGAAAGGGATGCAAGCTAAACATATATAAATCTTGAGTGATGCTAAACCAATAAAAGTATGATTCAAATGTGTGATTTGTGAAGATAACTGCTGAACGATCCTAGTTGGAAAAGTGTCCTGCCATCCTACCAGGATGGTAGTTATCCATCCTGCCCAACTAGTAGCAACACAGTATAATCCCAAAATGGAATAGACAGGTTGTAAGAATATAGAACTGGAAACACTTCAGCTGGCCATCATAATTACAACCAATTTCTTAAGGCTGTGGTTCCTAACCTTGGGTAATCCAGGTATTCTTGAACTGCAATTCCCAGAAATCCTGGACAGCACAGCCAGTGGTGAAGGCTACTGGGAGTTGCAGTCCAAGAACACCTGGGCTTCCCAAGGTTGGAAACTACTGCCTTAAGGAATTGGTCTTTGCTGCTGCTCTTGTTTTTAAATCTAGATGCCACCAATGTTTCAAACACAAGATGATGATTTATAAATTCTGATATTAAAGAGGAGGCTGAGAGAATAACGGACAATACTTGCTGTTCCATTCAGCTTGATGTAGAGCGCAACTCAGCAAATATAGAAATGTAGGGGTATTTAACTTGATTTAATAGAAAATGTTCAATCCAAAGAAGACAATCAATCAGGTGCCCTTATTTAAGCTATTTCACTTCCCTCCCAAAGGTTCAAGTAAATCTCCAGTAAACATCGTTTTGCAAAGAAAGACCTCCACTGCACATCCCAGAGAATGATTTAAAATGAGATTTTGCAACACGAATCCATACCTTTCCTTTAGCCTTCTCTCAAATTCTGGATCTGTTGTGCTCTACTCTTGAGCATAAAAAAACATTGGCTCTGAAGGAAGATGGCTGAGTCTTCTTTCTTAATACAGGTGGCTGGATATGCTATGCACAGGATTACATGGGGTAGAAACACTCCACATTCCTATAAAATCCTTGGGGATTAATAATCTAATACCATCTAACTGCACAGACATGTACTGATGTGCACACAGTTAATGTGAAAGATACATTTCTTCTAGGCACTTTGATTACTTCGTGGATCCAAGCAATAGATAATTAGAGAATTTGTTGAAAAAATAGCTCTTACAATTGGTCTGTGTTTTGCTGAGGTTAACCGATTTTGGGATTTTCTCCTGCTTAGTGTTTCTTTGTGAATGGCACTGAGAAAAAAAGAGTATCCTGCAGACCACCTTGACTGCTGATGTGAGTGTTATCAATCGTCATGCTGCCTTTTGCTGTGTAAAGTTTGGCATCCTTTTTCCCACTGGCAATGTGGGCATGATATTGTGCAGTAACATCATGCCATTTCCTACTGTTTTGAATTGTGGATGTAGAAGCACAACATCCCACATTCATAAACTGAAGGGTTTTTTTAAAAAAAATTGAATTATACTTGTTACAACATCCCACATTCATAAACTGAAGGGTTTTTGTTTTTTTTTTAAAAATTGAATTATACTTGTGCAAGATAATTTACAACTGATTACAAGAGAAATACATTTGCAGAGAAGCTGTAATAGAATGGAACTCTGTGATCTGATTCACTTCTGAGCTGGTAGACAATAAAAGAGCAGATTTATTGAGAAATGTGCAGGGCTTCTGTCATGCACATTCATAAACTGAAGGGTTTTTGTTTTTTTTTTAAAAATTGAATTATACTTGTGCAAGATAATTTACAACTGATTACAAGAGAAATACATTTGCAGAGAAGCTGTAATAGAATGGAACTCTGTGATCTGATTCACTTCTGAGCTGGTAGACAATAAAAGAGCAGATTTATTGAGAAATGTGCAGGGCTTCTGTCATGCAGCACTGTGGCGGAATGCCCTAGTCACGCCTGTCCATCATATTGAGCTCTAGGGTAGGAGCCTATGGCAGGACAGGAGGGGCGGAGACGAGAGCCGTTGGAGACTAAGAGAGGAGTTAGAGAAGGGGTTTTGAAGTGTTAAGACAGAGATTGTAAAGTTGGTGTTTGTTAGAGAATAGATAAGAAATAAAAGTAATAGAAAAGAGATAGACAGTCATAAAATATTGTTACAGTGGTTAATGTGAATGAATACAAACAAGCAAACATGTAATCCTATCCAAGTTTAATGACTGAACAATAAAAGAACACCTATGACTTTACTTCTGTAATTTACCAATCAAACAATAAATAAACCTGTTATATTTGGCAGCCCGGGTCTAAGAAACATATTTGGTACAGTGTGGATAAAGATCCACTAGTGGCAGTGTGTAAAGGGAGCAAATAGTACATCGTGTCCGAAGGTGGATGTGTGTTTGAGGGAAAACAAACAGGTGACACGGGGAACATGACAAACACACATTTGATATTGGAACTTGATGAACTAAAGTTCATAGACACTTCACGTTTTCCTTCAGTATTTACCTGTAACTCACTGCAGGATTCATATAAGATGATTGCTTTGTAGTAGGGCACATTCTTCGCATTTATAAAATCTTGTATTCTGAGAGGTCCATTTGAAAGGCTTCAGACTGAAGTCCTTCAAATCTATGTCTCCTGGAAAAGGGAGAGCTTGTATCACAAGCCAAAGCTGGCACGGTTGGGACAATATATACCATTGGTAGTGGAAGAGCATTACTTGGTATGAATTAGTGCTTCAACATCATCATCAGTACAATCTCTCTTTCTGTTATATTCCATGTTCATAAAACCACTGGAATATTTTAAGCATAATCTTGTGCATGTTTAATCTGAAGTAAAATTCACTGTGTTCAACAGGACTAACTTCCAAGTATGCATGCACAAATGTTCACATATTATGGAGCATTTTCACATTGGATCTGCAGAGTTATCCCTGAAAAGTATGAAACCTGTGCAGTTTTCTGCTACCCACATGTCTGGCTTCTGGGAGTTTTAGTCCAGGAACATCTGGGGACCCAAGGTTGGAAACCACTGCTCTAGATCATGTTTTCATTCATATTTCAGACACTTGTTAAACCACTACTCAAATTATAATAATGCATAAGTTAGGCTGATCCTGTAAATCATACTAGAGTAGTCTCATTGAATCCATGGGGATTTGGTGAGTCAACTTCTGCATAAATTCCAGAGGTTCATGTGGGCCTACTCTACTTGTGACTTAGTGAGTTAAAGTAAGTCATAGATAGAGTGGGATAATTTGAATCAATTGAACTGACAGAAAACTTGACTCACCAAATCACCACTGGTTCTAGTGCAGCTTACTATGCAAAGTAACAGGATTCCAGCCTTAGGGACTGTTTTCAAAAACATCAGTGAAACATATAGTACCATAATTCTGTGTACAAAATGTACAAGTTGCTTAATTAAGGAGAGCAAACCCTTGCTAGAAAGCCTCTGCTTCACAGAAGTTGGTACATTTCTTTTTATAGAGAAGAATTTAAAGTCTAATATGAATGAAAATAAACTGTAAAGTTATTTTAACTTAGTACATAAATTAGAGCATGCAGTTTTAATGGGGTATGTTTAACTTGCAGTCATTATGTAAA